CCTCAGCATTTGCTCCGGTAAACAAGCAAGCCATGGACTGTTTGAGCGCTGAGCTTTCAGTAGGGAGGAGGAGGGCCTGGGCGCCTTCATGCCAACCACCTTCGTTCGTGTGAAGAGCTTCTTTCACAGGCCGGCGTATCGACGCCTTCGTGAGTTGCGATTGGCCAGTCTTCCTCCAGGCCGTGGAATTCATATCTCTTATCATCAAGGCAGCCGCACCTGGACCGGCTACTTCAACCAAAGTAGCGCGGGGACTTGCTTCACACACGGTGGAAGCACGAAACGTTCAGAGTGTGAGGCGCTAATTCTTTGCATACGATGTATTTTGCAGAAATACACTTTCAAATACATTTCCTCGGGATGCAGCGTGGAAGGCTCAACTTGACAAGGTTTTGAGGTTCGAGGCTTCCAGCGCTACCATTTAGAGCTGGTGGTAGAACAATGTCATTTAGAACAATGTCATTCTAACTCTATTTTGTTCCAGCTGTATCTCTGTCTATGTATCTATATATGTACATATATATATATAATTATTGTGTTATATCTTTCTTTATTTATATAATCTATCAACTTCAATGTGTGCTGTGTTTACACACATCTATATAGGTATTTCTATGGTCTGCAAAGCATGGTTAGCCAGCAGCTCATGTGTGCTCACTCCAAAAAGGATGGAGAATTCCGGATACACGTGCACGCTGCATGTCTGCCAACAGTAGCAGTACAGTACAAAGAACATGAAGATGGGGAAAAGGTACGAACCGATGCTGCGCAGGGCGTTGGAGGGTTTGTTTACTCTTTTTTTGGTGGCACGTGGGACATTTCATCTGATTTTTCAGATGGTCAAATGAAATTCCCATCTGTTAGTCTTACGTATATAAGTTCCGTCTTGTCTTCAGTCAGTCTTAAGTTGGACGATGCCAGCATTCTATCTGTTAAACCCATCGGCCTGGCCCAGTTGAAAATGCCTGCTTTCTATCCTGAAGCCTGTTTGAGGCTTCTTTGGATGCATTCTTGAGACAAGATTTAAAGCATTCTATCTGTCGTTTGTCCCGCATATAAGCAGTAAAATGACCAAGAGCAGGCGTTTCTGGCACCTGAGCATTCTATCTGTTAAAACCATCCGCCTGGCCCAGTTGAAAACGCCTGCTTTTCTATCTTGAAGCCTGTTTGTAGCATCTTTGGATGCATTCTTGAGACAAGATGTAAAGCATTCTATCTGTGGTTTGTCCCGCATATATGCAGTAAAACGACCTGAGCATTCTAACTGTTGATTTTCACGCATTCTAAGTGGGTGGTCCAAAAATTGGAACTCGCCGGGCCATTCTAACTTCCAGTCTGGCGGTATAGATGGTTCTTCAGGACATGGGGTGGAGATATGTGGAGATGGTGAGAAGACATGGAGAGGGCAGAGCTTGTGGTGTCGCATGTTCCGACCATGTAAGTAGTGTTTGTTTGGCAAACACGTCCACAGTTGCTCTAGAATTTGTCGCATTTGGTCTCCCAAACCCTTGCCTTGAGAAAGCCGTGAAGGTGACGGTGAACTTCATTTTCGCATGGTCCGCGACGCTCGAGCCAAGGATATCGCCGATTCGATGGCTTGTTTGCCAACCAATCAGGTCTCGCTTGCTGCCCATTGTAACATGTAACAAGGGTGTGTTGACCTACCCCGCCAGGTGGACAACCTTCAACCTTTTTTTGGGGGTACCCAGACACGACTAATGGGACTGCCATATATGCCACCTCCAAAACCACCTCAAGGTATACAGGCATTTGTGGCATACATGGAGTGTCTGGAGTCTGGAGTATTGGTTTCCCTACCAAAAAACAACGTGTAAACAGTTCAACCTAGCGGTCGCTGTTTGCCGTCAGGTACACGATCCACGGGCCAATCAATATGGTGCCGCAGCCCGGGTCCCTCAGATGTGCTCTGCTCGGCCAGAATCGCCGCGGCTATTCCATAGACTTCCGACTTGCAAGGCTTAGGTGAGCCCTGGGATTCCGTCGTACTTAGCACCCACGAAAGAAGCAAACGAGACTCTTTTCGCGGGCACGCGGGTCCTCCAGATGTTTGCATATCACACCTGTCGTTGGGTTGATGAGTTGATGCTTGAGGCTTGTGTGTGTGTGTTTTGTTGCCGTGCAAGTTTGCCCACAGATGCGGACGCTGCAAGAGGACCTGGGGACGGTGTGCAAGATTCACGGTTTGATCGCAACTCAAAGGTGTCGTTTGTTTCTTGTGGGGAACAAGTCAGTTTGCCCAAAACCTCAGACACGACTAGTCCCATATATGCCGATACATTGACCCCCAAAAACCACCCCAACTGATCCGCAGTCCTATGGTAGTCCCTGACAGGTCGTGTTTGGGCCATGTTTTGCACATGTCGGGTGTTTCTGCCCATGTTCTGCTACTTCCCAGTCCTTCAGAGCTTTGGTCCCGCCCTGTTTGCCACCAAGAGGTCACACTGGGCCATCGTGCGACGAAAGTAGGGAAGAAGGGACTGTGCCCCCCTCTTGACAGAGATGAGGGAACCTGGATCCTGGATCCCTCGATCCCTCAGTAGGCCTCTGATCACTACACATGGGGTCTGAATCCAGCCACCCTCGGGACCCAAGTTGATCAAGTCGGCAGTTTCTCTTTCCACCTTCCATGGCCAGAAGCTTGGCGATCGCGCCAGCGATCACGCCAGCGGCTCGTGCGAGGGTTTTCTCGAACACCAGATCCTTCTGGAGGTACCATCCATCTCGTACCCCTATAGGACTCCTGGCCTTCCAACCGGATTTTGGGGCTTTGAAGGTGTGTTTTCTTCTCCCTGCCATGGAGCGGCCCAAGATGGCCCAAGGATTCTTAGGCTAGTGATATGTAGTGACCTGTTGGTAGATCTCAGAACAGCCAGCAGTGTCACAGGTGGGGGGGGGGGCGTTTGGGACTCCGAAAATCGAAGTCCCAATGGCACCTGCCGCAGTTTCCGTGTGGAAAGGACGAAGAAGGAAACGTCTCTCCCCTTCGCCAGTCCGGCACGGACGGACTGGCGCAGTGACCTACAACAGGATGGTTGGATTTCAGGCGTGATCCTGACTGCATCATCTAGAACTGAGTGACCTGTGATTTGGACCAACCACCCCCAGAAGCCCTTTCCTATCCAAACCAGAGGTCCGATGGCCTCTGGGTAGGTTACGGTAGTAGATCCGGTCCATCATCTCGTCCCATCGGTCGCGCGTCGCGTCGCGTGGCGGTCGAGGCCTCCATGAGCAACATGATCACGTGCAATGGCGTGAGGGTCACGACCTGATCCGCTGCCAAGACCTTGGCAGCTGACTGACCTAGACATGCTGACTAGATTTGGGGGGTTCAGGAGTCGCAAAGTGAGGAAGCAGATGGGCAGAGTGGAAGAACATGGATTGAGCAGATGAGGCCTGATGTTGAGAAGTTTAAGCGTCAAAGAATTGAACACATGCGAGAATCAAGCCAAGATGGTCTTGGAACTTGGTTAATCAGGGGCTATCTTTGTAAGTCTGAGACTATCCAGAGAATTTGCTACTCGCATACTAGTACTGGGATGGGACAATTTGATATCCCTTTCCCTGCAACTTCGAAACTTGCTCGTCGTGGGGAGACTCTCATCGAGCCCAGTTTCGTGAAGAGATCGATGCAGTTCGATAATTCCCTAGGGCTCCAACCATCTCCTCAGGAGGTGGTTAGACCCCCTAGCACCCACCCCAACCACCTTCTCAGGAAGTGGGCCAGGAGGTGGGCCAGGAGCGCTAGGGATTCACTGGTCTCTCCCAAACTGTTCTGGGTAGAGCTCCCATGGGCAGTCAGCTTCACCACTCGAAGGAACGGCCCACTCGAAGGAACCACCTGCGAACATAGAAGTCAATGGAAGTGACGAGGCTTGCTGCCTCACATCCGATTCGGCGTCATGACGATTAGGGTGACCTTTTTTGAGTCATTTCACAGGCAAGCAGGTCGATAGACGCGCCAACATGACTCAGGTTCAAAGACTGGAGACACACACGGGCGCCTCTCAAGTTCTGGTCCAGTCAACTTCAGGAATGACTCAGGTTTGAACCACAAGAGTTTAGAAGTTGAACAACAAGTTCCACGACATGCCATGACATGCCATGACCCTTGGACACCAATCCCCCTTGCCCTGGGGTGCAGCACCACACGTTCTCCAGCTCCTGTTGCACTTTCCGTCCATTGCGCCCCCCCCAAACCGCGCTTTCCGCGCACAGTGGCCGCCCATCGCGCACCGTTCCGCGGTTGCGACGCCTGAAACTTCCGTCCCATGGATGTCGCTGAAGACCGGCGACTCCCTGAGAACGCGTTCTCGAGGCTCCTGGAGCGAAAAAAGGGGGCGGCTGAGAGGCTGGATGATGTGCGAAGCTGTGCGAAGCTGCTGATCTCCCTGGCAAAAGTGAGATGTATATAATACAGGTCCATGGCCTATGGTTCCAGAATGTTCCAGATACTCTTCTATTAGGAGACTCTTTGATGTAGGGGCCAGTAGGGTCCCATTACCTTCTGGGTATGTAGATAGAACTCCGGCTGTAAACGATGCGGGACGTCCAAAAAATGGGTGCTCTTTTCCGCGGTCTGGGGTCTCAAGCGTTACTACCAAATTGTCGTACACCGTCTTTCTTAAACCTTTGGGTTTGTATGCTCACTAGCCTTCAGTGTGAAGGGTTGAGCTGGTTTTAGTAGTCCAAAATCCTAAGTTAAACAATGGTTGTTTGGCAAACACCAGTGAAACAGTGGTCGGAATCCCAGGCTTCATATATTTTTGCTGAGGCATGCCATGCCCCAGCAGTTTGCAAATTGACGACCAAACTGATATCGGTTGGAGGGCTTCTCCATGGTTCTCCCTCTTTTCCAGATGATTCATGACCCAGACACTCCATTGGGCTGGTCAAGATGGCAGATGATGGCAGTCTCAAGTGTTTGGGTATATATGGACATGGGTGATCATGTCCAATCATCTCATCCTCCCATTGCCCCTCCCCCAACTTCTCACCCCAAAAACACTCCCACCCAGCTCCGGTGACCCGGACGTCCAGGTAGTGACCGATGGGACGTGGGACGAACTTCGGTCTCGGACGTGGCCGAGTTCGTCTCGTCTCGTGGCCGCCCAGCCCGTTGCGGCTTGACGTCCTTCGTCTGACTGCCCATCTCGATCCTGTTCTCCCATGGCGCAAGACGCGGGCGTGCCAGTGGTCGAAGAAGCCAAGGAGGGGTGAACATCGATCAGTCGATCGCAGTCGATCAGCCCGTGGGAAGTCTGATCTGGAAGATCCAGGGATGGACAGATGGATGTATATGAATTAGTCATCCTGAAGTGTAGAGATAGTGATAGAGATTGGGACACCTGGTCATGTTTTTTTGATTCCAAGACAGGTTCAGTGACCTGAACTAGGACCCCACTGGGGTACCCAATTGGGATAGTCAAAAAAGGGTCCTTCAACGGTCCTTCAACCTCTGTTGGTTGCTTCATATCTACTCTAGCATGGTCATACATGTCTTCTGAACCTTCATGACCCGAGACGTTCAGTGAGCGACGTGCCGCTGTGCCGCTCTGTGTTCGAAACGACCATCGCTGCCCCCGCCCATCTCCCCCCAGTCGCTCGGCAGATCCTCCACGCCCATCTCTCCGTTGAAGTGAAGAAACCCTGGAAGTCAAGTCGACCATTTGTACTTCTGGTTGATCTGGTGACTTGTAACTGTAAAACCCTTAGTACAAACAGCTCGGTGGTTCGGGATAATTCACTTCGCCGGGGTCACCACTCAACATACGAAAAAAAGGCACGAAGTCTGTGACCGGCCACCACTTCGTACGTCCTTTCACTGGCCCCTTTGAATTTCTGGGCGTTCGAGTCTCATTCATCCTAGAACCCCCAAGAAAAATGTCCGAGCACCCGAGTCCCATTCATTGGAGCGGACCTACCTACCGAGGTCCCGGGAATGTTCCTTGTGTGGCCTCACACTTGGACTCCGTCACACTTGGGACTCCGCGCGCGCGATGTCCAGAGTCCAGGAGTGGAAAGGCGCCACTGGATCCGACGACGAGGGCGATGCCGACGAGCATGCGCCGCGCGGTGACCGGTGGCGACCGCGCTGACCGGGGGGGGCGGGTGCCCGGGGAGGTTCCGGTGGCGTGGTCGACCTGCGGGGTCGACTTGGTGAGGGGCGGCCAGGATGGAAGGGGTGAACTGGGTGAACTTGACAATTCCCTACAAGTGAAAGACCTCATATTTTACTGGGGATGGTCATACAAAACCAATGCTTAAGGAGGTAAAAGACCAGGTTTTACTGGGTCTTTGGACTTGTAGGGATTGTCTATCCATCTCCCCTGCGAGTCGACTATAAAAAGAATGGTCTGACTGGGTGACCTGAAAAGGAACTTCCTTTAGTTTAGTCACTTAGTCGGTCAAAATATAGTCTTTGGACTTCTAGGGTCTCTATCCTTAAAAAAAAACCCAGCACCACGGAAACGGATGGAACACGGTGTGAAAGGGGGCGAACATCATTAGTCAGGGGTGTCTGTGGCTGTGACACTATTGTGTGAATGGTGATTTGAACCAAGCAGCATGAACAGCGTAGAAGTTTAAACTGCGGTGTCGACCCAAATTGGGAGCGCCTCCCCCTTGTTGAACAAAGCAGCTGGCATTTGAACCTTCATCTTCGTTGCAAGGCTAGTTGAGTCGGAGCCAGCTGGTCGAGGACTTTTCTGAAAGGTGGTTCTCTACTCAAATGCAGATTCTCCACTCATCCACCATCTATCGAAGCAAATGGTTTCAATGCTTTATATATATATATATATTTATTAAACCAAATGGGGGGATGGAACTAAGAGTTGTTATCCAGCAAGAGGAGGACGATCCCCCACAATTGAACCCATTTGTAGGGCCCTTGATCTTCAGCAGCAGAGCCTGACAGAAGCAGCTCGGTCCAAACCAGCAGTTCAAAAGGGACTGAGTATTTGGCATCATGGATTCTCGAGCTCACAGAAACCTAGTCCTTCCCTTCCTGGTAACTATAGCCCTAAGAAAGTCTGACTCATACGAATCATGGACCCTCAAGGAGTGGAAAGCTCTTCAAGTCCACAGGGTCCAAGGATGGTTAGAGGGTCCATGGAGTCGACTGCAGCCCGGCCCCCATCGAGTCGGGGCCGCAGGGGCCCGCAGGGCTTCCAGAGGTTCAACGGCTGGAAAGCGCCTCCAGAGACCCTGTTCGACCCAACGATTGGAACCATGCCGTGGCTCCAAAAGACTAGCAGCCTCCACTCGCACCAGAAGAGGGGGTTCCCAACTCCGAGAAGAGCTTCTCACACTGCCGCCGCCGTGACCGCCGGTCCACGCCAAAGAGGCCAAACGCGGCGGGGAAGCTGCGTGAGCGAAGGAAGAACCAACAGAGGTTGAAGGACCCTATAGACTATTCCCATATATAGTATATAGGTACCCCAATAGGGTCCTATTTACGGTCACTTAACCTGTCTTGGCCTGCCCACTGAGGACCTCCTCGTTTCGGGCGCGGGAGAGGCGGCTGTCGATGGCGGAGGAGGTCCGCAAGGAAGAGCAAATCATGGGTGACACGCAAGTGCCTGGGCAGCACTCGCCTGTTCAGCGGCGAGTTGTGGGCCGTTTTGGGCGTGCTTGTTCGCCCAAAACAAAATGGTCTTTTGCCACATGCCCTCCTACAGGTCCCATCATGATACCTGGCGAGCGTAGTCTACCCTATGACTTCCTGGTTTTGCTTCAGGTGCATGTGTCCCCTGTCGCGAAACTGGGAGACTCACGGGTGACGGTCATGTCCGGACTCATTTGACCCGGAGACGGAGACGATTCTTCAGGTCTGGGACCAAGAGAGGTCCGAAGTCGAACCACCATTCCCAGACCCTCCATGTATGGAATATGCCGATCAGTTGGGGTGGTTTTGGGGTCAATGTAGGCATATATGGCAGTCCCATGGAGCGTCTGGGATTGTTTTACTATAAGGGCGTTATACTACAAAACGCAGATGAGCCAGTTTAAGAACGGTCGACTTGACTGGAAGTCGGGAGGCTTTTTGAGACCTGAACCTTTGGACCGATCCACGTGTGGCACGGGCACGATACGTATGGGGAGATGGGGGGCATTCCATCGGCCAGGGAGGTCAGGGCCGATCCAACCTCTCTAGACTCTAGACCAACAGAGGTGGGTCAGAACCGCCCTTCGACTCTCCGAATTCCAGGCCAGGGTAGACCCAGGTGTTCCGTGTCCTAGTGACGGTCCACTGGCTACCTCTGGGAGTCTGAGCGCTTTGGGGATGGCTGTGGGCAACCCGGAGCGCTCCGCCACCAATCCCTGGCGCTCGTCGACCCGTTTCGGGTCAAGACGCAGCACTGGCGCCGGCTTGGCCCCCAAACCAAGACAGGTTAAGTAGGCGTAAATAGGACTGGACTCAGAAAACCTGAGGTACCCAACTGGGATAGTCGAACAGTCGGGTCCTTCAACCTCTTTTGGAAAAGGGCCAAAGTCATTTCATTGTAAGTTCCAGGGTGTCTGAATCACTCTCAGATATTCATGAGAGGATTTTCTTTGGGGGGGTCGATGCTCGTCGGGTGCCCTTGAATTGCAGCCCAATCAGATGACTTGAAACTGGCCTGTTCATGCCTGTTCAGCCAGAGTGGCGGTGTTCACCCACTCGTCCGACCTGGGATCTTGTGTTCTGTGACGCGGGACCTCTGATCGGCAATGGAGCCCTGACGGGACAGTGCAGCTTTCGAGTGATGGCAGTCTCCAAGCCGTTACTTTCTGCAGGAGCCCTCGCAGACAAGGGTTGGTCCATCCAGATGAGCAAGACTGGAGGACACATTGCTCGAGATGGGAAGAAGATCCCAATTTCCTTTTGCAACGGAGTTTACTCCGTGCCGATCGTGTTCCACCATTTCACCCGGCACCGATGTGGGTAAGTCCGGTCATGGACGAAGAGGCCCCGGCAGATTTTGAAGCTGCTGAGGCCGAGCCAGGTGATGAACTTCCATTTGGTCTCAAGATCAACGCTCCAGTTCGCCCAACGCGAAAGGAGCTCGAGGAACACTCAGTTTCACATTTTCCTTTTCGTTCGTGGTGTGAGGCCTGCATTAGAGGTAAGGCCAAAGCAAATCCACACAAGCGGGTGGATCATTCTGATGAAGCAGCAATCTACAGTCACTACTGGCGTCAACCTCGCAGTTCGACCACTGCACCACAGTAGTTGTCCATCCGCTTGGCTCAGTTATTTCAGGTGGCTTCAATCCATCATGTACTCTGGCCAGCGCCTTCTATTCTGTTGAACTTGATAAAAATACTTGCCCAACACACACGCAGGGTACGGTATATTTGCAGCAATATAGACAGCCGACTAGACAGCCGCTTGCTCTTGGAGGCTAAAATCGGTTGGCTTGGCCCCTCGACAGAGATAGTTTGATTTTCAAGCCCAATGTGGTGGCTAAAACGGTTTTTTGAAAACCATTGAAAACCTATTGCTCTGGCTAAAATGGGTCTGGATTTAGGATCCTGATGTTGGCTACCCCCGTTATATAAGAGGGCTTTGGGCATGGGGTTCAAAAAGACTATTAACAGGCTAGGGTCAAAAGACAATTAGCAGCATCAAAAAGAAACAGGAAGGAAGGAAGGAAAGGGAAGGAGAGAGAGAGAGAGAGAGCGGCAGGAGAGAGGAAGCTTGTCTTCGCCAGGAAGGAAGGGAAGACAGGAAGGAAGGAAGGAAGGAAGGAAGGGGAAGGAGAGAGAGAGAGAGAGAGCGGCAGGAGAGAGGAAGCTTGTCTTCGCCACTATGGCTTGGCCCTTCCTACATGTCGCCCCGCTGCTTCTTGTTTGTGTTCGAGAGCGTGCCGCCCTGTTTGACGGTGTGTCTTCCTATGAGTCGTCCTCTGCTGCCTTGCCGGGTGAAGTGTTTCTTGCGACAGCCGCTGAGTGGGCTGATGGGTTTTGCATGGTCGCAGTTGACGCAGGTGCACTTGAATCTCGCTTTGTTCGCCTCGCTTCCTCCAAGGATTTGCAGGTGAATCCTGGTCTGATTGTGTTGGACTTGGACTGTGCGTGTGCATTGTCTGCGTTGAGACGCAAGAAGCACTTGCAGGGCTGGTCCCTAACTAGACCCATACGTCGTCGTTAGGCATTGGCATTTTTGTGTGTGGACGCATGGAACCTGTGGATTTGTCAGTGCCTCGTCGGTTGACCACAAGAACACGCCGATCTTTGGCAACCTTGCATCTTGAGCGTTGTGGGCCTGTGACAGTGCAGGGCGAGTATGCAGAGCCAATGTGTCTGCTCACCAAGCGTGTCTTGCATGCATTGGGTTTAGCCCCCGTTGAAAATGGTGCACATTCGCATTGCTTTTGGGTTGCGTCTGCTTCTCACACACCGCCGGCAGTTGTTGCTTCCACGGTTGAGGTTGTGGAGGCCACCCAGCAAAATGAGGGCTTCGCTGCAGAAGCGTGGTCTCTTTGTACTACACCTGCTGAACAGATTGCGGTGGTGGTGACCGTTCTGCGACATCACTATGCCGATGACCTGTTCCGGCCAAGCTTGCCTCCTGCCTTCTTGGCCGCTATGGATTGGGCTCAGGCGTTCCCAAAGTGATAGGTCATGGTGTACACCCAAGGGGCGGGTAAAGTTTGTGGTCATTTCCAGCATTGCTGTCCAGTTGTGCGTCTTGTCTCTGATGGTGTTTTGCCCAGCTCTTTTCCCAAGCATTTTGCATAGACCGGCCGTGGATCCACATTGCTGGTTGGGGGGTGGTTGCCGGGATGAAGGTGAAGAAAGTTTCGCTTCCCTTGCTTCTACTGATTGTCTAGTGTGTCAAGCGTTTGGCAGTGCGCGTGCTTGGTTCAAGCGGAAACGTGTCAAGTGGGAGTCCTCTCCACATGTGATGCTTGTCTCGCGTTCAATGTTTCCCATTGTTGTTGCTTGTCGCCAGCCAGCTGTGTTTCCAGTCGTTCTTCCAAGCCTATGTCCACCGTGTCTGCAAAGTCAAAAGAGGACATTCCCAGCGCAAACATTTGATGAGCTCCTGCTCCCCAGTTTGTCTCTTCCACCTGCATTACGCAATGATATGGCCATATGGGCAGCCCTGAGCTGCTTTCCAAAGAAGTGGACTCAAGTTGTCAAGTGGTTCCTGCTAGCACGCCCACACAGTTTGACCCAAGTTGTCAAGTTGCTGCAAGAGTGCATGTTATGGCGGACTATCCCCGGGACACCCATCTTGTCTTGCTTTGCAATGAACGAGGCCAAACCAGATGATATGGCCCAGCTTCACTTGCTGGCTTTGCCGAGACCACCGCCGTCACATGTTGGGGTGTCACTGTCACGAGCTGGTGAGGGTGTCTGGCTAGAGGTGATAGGATGTTTTTGCTTCTCAAATATTTTCTTTTTGATCCCCGCGGATAATTTTCTTTTGATCCTAATTTCTAATTTCTAATGAGAGTTTCTTTTCCATCCTGATACCGATTTTAGCAAGAGATTTGCTTTGAGCAAAACATGAGGTCATGAGATGACTAGGAGCCAGATGTTGGACCCCCCATTTCATTTGAAGACTGATGCTGGGCCCCCCCGATTTCATTTGGAAGCTGAACGAATTAATCCTCACACGTACACTTTATGGATTCCACAGTGCTCTGATTCCACAATGTTCCACCACTAGAAGGAATTTGTGTTTTTTCAGTCCTTGAGATGACCCCAGAGGTGCTCACCACGTTTTGTCCTCTTCCCAAAGGTCTTTCCTCAGCTTTGGTAATCTTTGTTGATTCTTTGAAGCTTGGCCTATGCCACTTTAGCTACACATGTTTCTGCTAGGTGGGGTCCAAACGCAACAGGGCATCAGACAATGGTGGGGTGATGTAGGAAAACTGTATAATGTCCAGGATGCTGACCTTTTTGTGCTGTCCACCTGCTTGCATGTTGGCCCTTACCATGTTGACCCTGGCAGTCTTTTGTCCAGGCACTTCCCAATGGGTGTAAAAATCTAATTTGTAGGGGTGCCTGCCTTGCAACTTGTTGCTGTGTGCTGAACTCTACAGTCCCACCACATGCCCAAGCCAACTCCAAGTAATTTCTACAAATTTGTCACTTGCAAGTGGTATGGAGACTGCAACTAATCCTCACACGTACACAGTCGTACAGACAAATCAAGACAGCGACAAATCAGAAGCAGGCGAACAAAAAATCTGTGGGGCTGACATCACAGCGGAGTTAAAATTGGCCAGGCATGGCAAATTATTTGTGCGACCAGAACCTAAATGCAGGGACTTCTAGAGTCTGGAATGTTGGGCCCCTCTCAATTTATCAAGGGCCTGGCAAAAATCAAAATGATACCAAAATCTTGAAATCTCGGATCTCGCCATTTCATCAGCACCTTGGAGGCTAGAATAGGGTTGGCTCCCAGGGTTCCAAGGTGATTGGGTATGCCCAGACGGCTGTAATATAGCGAATATAGGCCACAGGAAACCTGTCCCCGGACAGATCAGCTGTTCTTACGTTCTTTCGGCCTACAGCTATACCTTTTCCCTTCGAGCCTTGTCCAGAGGCTTGTAAAAACTTGTGAATACTCGAAGGACTCGCACAGTTGAGACTCATTCAAAACAACCTGCTAGCAGAACCAGTGGGGGTGATGGTTTCAGATTTTTTTTTATGTTCAACCTTTATTCTTGGAATGGTTGAAACCGTTGAAACCACTGACCGGCTGGGGGTCCAAGACTTAGACTATAGACCCTTAAAAAGGTCTTTCATTGAACCCGATTTCAAGAACTTCCGTTTCAACCCTTCAGTCAGTCCTTTTCGAAAACCTTCCAGTCGGGCGGGGTCGTGACGGAAACCTTCCTCCGCCTCTCTGAGGTGGAGGTGGTGAAGCAGCAAGACGAGTGGAAGGGTGGAGACGATTCCGAGGAGGAACAGGCGAGTGAACTCATCGCGGTGCGGAGCGCAGTGGCGAGCCGACTCCAGCGGAAGACCGGGACGAAGCCGACGGTGGGACGAAGCCAAACGCGGCGGTTGGACGAGGAAAACACGAGCGACACGACGGATTCAGTTGGACTAGCATGGACTAGCCTAGCACATGCCAGAGTTTAGGTGGTTGGTTTGTGTGTGAGATGTAATTGATAAAATCACGGATGGATTCGCTGGCAGAAGTCGGTCAAAGTTCAGAAGACACGAGGAACAGGCGACTTGGAATCTCATTGATCAATCTTCGTAGGAACGAACCAACTGGGTCAGTTGGGCTGTGGGTCCATAGGCCTCCAAAGGCCTCCAAACCATGGTCCCTGCACATCCCCCAAGTCGTCCATTGGGGTTTGGGGTCGCTCTGAGTCGGGCAGCCCTGGGGTCGTATGCTGATGCACTAGATCGCATCGGCACCATGGACCCCCATGGACCCTGTTAGTGCAGGCCAATCACTTCTGGCCGCCCAGCTCAGCTGGCGAAATTCCTTCGAACCCTGCGAAGTGGAGGACGATTCCAACAGCCAACAGAGGTCGCCAGGTAGCCTGTGACCGTAAATAGGACCCTACCTGGGCACCTATAGGATAGCCGAACTAGGGTTCTTCAACCCCTGTTGGAGACCCACCCCTTTCCTGCTTTGGATCGGGTGGTTTGTTGTCCTTGAAGTGGGTGAATGCCCCTTCGGGTATACGCTGTTTTTCCCGGGATTCCGAACGACCAGCAACTGAAGGTGTTGCCCGTGTTTGCCTGCGCCAGAACACGACGTGCAAGCAACCCAACAGAGGTTGAAGAACCCTATAGGCTATCCCATAGGTACCCCAGGTGACGGGTCCTAGGTTCAGGTCACTGGCTACCTCTCTTGGACTGTCCCGTGAGTTCACGCGCCCAAAACTTGGACGAATCGGACGAAGGGTTTCGATGGGCGAAGCGGCAAAGGGATTTGCCACTTATCACTGTCCACCCCAATGAAAGTCCCAATGAAAGCTGGAGCAGTGGATGTTTCACAGGCCAGGATGAATCTGGGGCGACTGAAAAAAAACAAGAAAACGAGGTCAGCAGACAGTGGTTCAAGGGTTCAAGTAGAGTTTAAATACTCTACCACCTGGGTCTCCCCTGTCCCAGCCAGAAGCAAGTCTGGATGGAACGAAACCCAGTCCCAGTCACTTCCCATGTAAAGGATCTCTCTCTCTCTATATATATATATATTATACCAGGAGCTTCCCAGTGACCTTTTGAGATCCCAGTGGCTGACGTCACCAGGAGGCCTTGATTGAAAAGGTCACGTCTACCAATCCTCAAGAGGTCAGGAACGGCTCAGGTCCTGGAAAGTGGTCACTCCTTGGATTCCAACCATTTCCCAAACACTCCATGTACCATCACCCCAGACATGTCAGGTCTCCTAGTTTGAGGGTTGGGAAGGGCCCTTGTTCAGGGTTTCAATTGGTGACCTGTAGAGTCGGGTCCTGGTATGGAATATTTACCTACATTGACCCCTTTTCAAGCACCCCTGGCCGTTTCTGGGCAGTCCTATGGCCTGGGTTTGGTTTGTGGTTGGGAATCCGGCTTGGTACCAATGTCTCAGATGCTGTACATTTCAACTCTCCCTCATGCTACCCAGACCAACCATCCATGGGACTGGCATATTCACCGTTGGGATGGTTGAAAGGGGCCAAGGCAGGTATACATATGCCAGTCCCATGGATGGTATGGGGTAGAGTTTGGATACGGCCCGGGTACCTGTGTTCTTTCGCGAAAGAGATCTGTGAAGCGTGTGTGGACCTTCTGCCAACCGGCTCGGGCGTTGGACTTGCATTCCCAACATCCGGGTACTGAAAGAATATTATAAAGGAATCAAATTAAATCATGTAAGTCAGCAGCGTCCTGGTAGAAGATTCTAAGATTGTACTCTTCCAAGGACCTGTTGTTGCCTGTTGTTCCACTTCCTGCTCTTTTTTTGGGAGCAAAAACAGCTGTAATTACCTGCATGCAGGCATCATTTGCCCTCAATGTATTAAGCTATTGCCTCCAACAAAACCCTTGCAATGACACAACCTGTGTGAACCTGCTCACCCCTTCCATTCTTCTGCCTTCTTCCTTCGCGCCACCTGCTTTCACACCCCCCCTCAGCTGCAGCCTCCTTTCGATCTTCGGCCGCAGGCCGAGCCCGTCGAGCGCACGGCTCAACGAAGGGCCTCGGAGTCCTTCGAGAAGAGAGAGAGCCGAATACAGCAGGCCGAGCCCGACTCCCGCGGCGCCGAGTTCGGCGCGTTCGGCGGTGCGTTCGTCCGGCGCGGGGGGCCTCGGTTTGGGGGAAGCTGGAATTCAGCTCAGATTTTGTTGTATCATGTTGTATCATGTCTCAAACACTCCATGGGACTGCCATAGGAGTGCCGATCAGGCCAGGGGTGGTGCTAGCAAAATCTGTCTGGGGCGGCGACCTACATGGCAGTCCCAGACACGTCGTGTTTGGATGTGGTATCCAAATTCCCCCGATATTGCGGCCTCCGGTCGGTCACGATCGGTTGCGATAGATCGGGGTCGGTCGGGTGGAACTCGTTCGGGGTGGGCATCGCTTGCTCGATTCCTGTGAAGACTCCACAGGAATCGGATTCTGGGCCCCACCGCATCGATGTTTCAATAGTATATCCAACCCTAAGAATCCGGACCCTCAAACACATAGGGTTTTGAGGGCCCGGACCCCTGCTATGGAGGGTCCGACCCCTGCCATGGAGAGCCCGTTCGGATTCTTAGGGAAGAGAGGTTAAGTGACCTGAACTAGGACCTTACTGGGGTACCCAACTGGGATAGGCGAACTAGTGTTCTGACCCACCTCTGTTGGATGTTTCATGGAGAACAAACCTATAGAGGTCTTTTGATTTGCCCAAGAACCAGATCGCTGATTCGTCCTGACTAAATGACCGCCAGGCTCCAACTGAAGTGAAAGCAAAGAAGTGGTCCAACACAAAAAGGTGATCATTACGTTGAATGACTTGACAAGAATTATTGTTGGAAGGTTCTCGTGAATTACTTACTAATTCACGGTGGACGTTCGCAAGGTCGTAGGTTAGCCGTTGAAATCTCAGTGGCTCGTTAGACCGAGGAAGGTCCCAGCCTCGCGAGTTTCGCCCTTCGCGCCGTTTGGGCCAACGCGCCTCTAGGGCGCCTTGGTGCGCTCGAGCTTCAGCCAGAGCGCCTTGGTGGGGTTTTGGGGAGGTGGAGGCCAAAGACCGATGGAGCTGCTACAGATGGGGGTGGCAGGAGACTTTCATCGCAGAAGCTCCAGGTGGGGTTTTGGTCGAGTGAGGGTGAAACACCGAATGGTTCACCCCAAAAAAGAGGTCATCCCATGTCATCCCCTCAAGTAAGAAGCTCTCCAGATCCATGGGACTGGCATATTGACCGATCAGTTGGGATGGTTGAAAGGGGGTGAATGTAGGCATATGTGCCATATATTTTTTATATATAATATATAGACAGTGTTGTTTCGCAGCTTGCCTATTTGTGTTCAACCAACCTTCCAAACTCGGCGAGCACAGATTGACCACGGCTTTGTGCTCATCGTGTTTGGCGGTCAAAGGGATTTCTGACAGTCAAGGGGTACTTCTCAAGACACGTTGCCAGTGTTCAGTCATATTCACTCCCTGGACATGCGTACGAGTTTGCAGCGACGCACGGGCTGGCCTGCTGGTCTAAGCAGGTCAGCTTCCGGATGGGAAGGAAGTGGCCAAGGAAAGGGCGACAGACCGTTTTAGAATTGGTTTACAGGAAACCCTCCAGGAAAGCCACAGTTTTGGAGATGAAGCCAAATTAATACAAATTATCTAATGCATTATCAATATTTAATTGCTTTTAGTGGTCTTAAGTTTCAGGATGTTTTAGGTTTTCCCTCTTTAACCCTAAATACCTGCCACTTGAGTTGCCTTTGCAAATTCTGTCAGATCAAACTGCTCAAAAATCCAGACAAACCTCCCAAACTCATCCAAATCCAGAGCATTCCAAAATCCAGACCACTCGCTCGACCGAGCGGTTTTTCCTGTCTTCGGCCTCCACGCGAGCGGTTTCGTCCAAGGTGAGCCGAGCGTGATGTCCTTCGAGCAAACTGGCCGAGCAGCCGCGAGCACGCGGGACTCAGACAGATGTAGCGATCGATGCACCAATATGTGTGTGCTGGCGTAGGGTGGAGGGTGGGAACGATGAAATCAATCACAAAATCACAGCCTTTCGACAAAATCACATCCTTTCGTTCATTCAGTGAACCAACTTCATGGACCCTTCCGAACATATACAGTATGTTCCAAGATGTTCCACGTTTGGGCGCCATGACATCGCCCGGAGACTGTTCCGAGTTCCAAGCGTCCACCACCGGATCCTTCCTCCCGGCAGTTGAACACGCGCGGACCACGGGGGGCGTCGAAGAGAAGGAGGATCAGCATCAGTTGCTGGCAGAGTTGCGGCAGAAAAAGGAAGAAATCCATCTCTACGGTCGTGGGTTGGGAGGACCTACAGAGGTTAAGTGACCGTAAATAGGACCCTACAGGGACCTATAGGATAGTCTATAGGGTTCTTCAACCTCTGCTGGGATGTCCGAGGATTTTTGTTGGGGGGGGTGATTTTCCTCGTGGGATCTTGCGGGTGACGCACAGATGTTGGGAGCTTCCGTTTGGAGCTTCCGTTTTCGTTTTCGCGTCTTTTGTTGGAGTTCCACTGGAGCCGGAGAACTGAATAGAACTCCTACCACTGAATAGAACCCCACCGAAGGGTGCAGCGCAGAGAGTTGAAGAGTCAGCTCTACTTCGGGGCCTCGTCCGCTCGTCCGCTCGGCAGGTGCGAGCGGACTCGGGCGCGGTATAAAGCGGTCTCTGAGAGTGGGATTGATATGGATGGGATCTATACCAGGACCCACAAGGGGTGGTTCATGGACACCCCGAGTCACCTCTAAGGAGCTATCAATGGAAGTCTCTTGGGGTGTCCTGGTATAGGAAACCATTGCTTTCCTGGCACTTCCAATGTCCAATGGGTGCCCTGATCTATACAGGCCTATTGACGTATAGGGTAGGGTAGTCGAACGCCAGGACACCCAGACAGGATGTTCCTGGTTTGGATGGCTTGGGGGGGATGTTTTTGGGGGTGATCAGGTTTCCTGTAGGTGTTCCCTTGAACCCATTCCTGGACATATCTTGCATTCACTCTTGCATTCTAAGTTGCCTTTTTTCTGTCAAATCAAGTACAGCGGATCCCAGGCAAGCCACGAGTACTAAGGAACCAGGGGTTTGTTCTTCAGTCTATGGGTTTTAGTCTGTTTTCGTCAGAGCTGGAACCACTGGGACTCCCAGCGACATCGTGGGAACTGCCTGGATGCCCTGGGAAGGGGGGGTTTGTAGATTCTTCCCTTCCACATACCTACAGAGGAAGCCAGTGACCAGGTCACTAGGACCCGGAAAACCAGCACCCAACTAGGAGAGTCGAGCAGTCGGGTTCTTCAACCCACCTCTGCTGGTATCCCTTGACCAGTCGACTCCAGAATGGACACCGTGCTCAGTGGGTCGGAACCCAACAAATCGATGGATGGACAGAGCTAGCCAGCTCCTGGCGAGTCTGGGCTTCCCAGGTGACGAAACCATGGGCCATCTTTGGGGCACCAACCATGTGAAGGTATTTTTGCTTGGGATCTCGGTTTCCAGGCATATATATATCAGGCATATATTTTTTAAGAATCATCAGGAAGAACAAATGAAGAGAACGGATTGGGGTGATTTGCAACCCATGAACATTTCCCCCAGCTATGTCGTGCCACGGGGGGGGGTCGATGGGGTCGACCACCCAACGTCCTCCTGCACCCGTGATGGATGTTGAGCCATGTTGAGCCGTTTTGGCACGAAAGCGAGTGGTTCAGTGCCGCCTGCTAGGGTCAGTGGTCCGCACCACTGATTTTCGTTTCCCATCGTTTTCGAGCCTCGGCACTGGTGCCGCTTGTTCGGTCGCGGAGAGGGACGATATACTGCTGGCCCAGTTGGACTTATGTTCATTGACTCGGACCATATACCAGGACCGCATGTTCCATCATGCCCCAGGCTGGAGGAAGAAGAAGACATTCATTATATAATCTACTGATTCTAAATTGGGGAATGTTCTGTTGTCACGGTTTCTTTTGCTATTTACTTGTGACCCGAAGTGGCAAGATAGAGCCTTATTCATTCAGGATGTTGCACATCAAGATTTCTCACTTCGACTGCCAGGTCGGGAACCAGACGAGACGGAGCTTTCACGGGTTCAAAGTCAGAATCCACTACCAGTTCGAGGTGAGCCATCACATTTGAGGACTTCAGGTGGTTTCTGTTGGGTGTTTTGGGGTTCTCGAAGTGTGTTCGATAAGAAATCCTCCTACTCTTCCATCCTCCATTCCCACCTGTTACTTCACCCTCACCTGCTAAGCAGTCGGAATCGTTCATCACAGTGGATCTCGGATCGCAGAAGAATATAAAAAGGGCAAGTTGCTGTGGAACAAGGGGGAACAGCGGAGTTGTTTTTGTTCAAGGCAATTAAGTGATTCTTTCTGCTCGAGTTGTTAAAATGTTTCTTTTGAAAGGATGTTCGGAGTCTTTGTAGCACACTCCTGACGCTAGTTTTGAGTGTATTGTCCTCCAAAAAGGAACAGAGGAAACTCGTCGAAGATCGGCGCAGGCACATCATGTCTCTCCCACCCAAAAAAGACAACCTGCACAGTGCACAGTTATAGTTATAGTAGACAGTGTCCAATTGGCTTGCAACCAACATGTTGTCCTTCCAATCGCCCAAGGCTGGAAGAGGAACATAGAGGAACCCACAAAACAAGAAGGCTTAAGGGGTATCCATTAACCACCCCTTAGGGGGGCCCTGGCACATCATGATTTATTTGACCCTGTGGATGACTCAGTTGTTCCACGGCTGAGGACCGTACAGTGCCCGACAATCGCCCATCTTCCAGGCGATGGCAGACGACAGAAGCCTAGAGACCCAAAGATGATGACGAGGGTCTCAGATTTGCGTGTGTGTTTTTTGAGACTCCGATCTCCCAAGCCATGGTTTTGTGTGGTTTTGTACCTGTAAGGTTATAGTTATTAGTCTTTTCCCTCGTGTGAATTCCTTCTTGGGGAAGACGTTTGATTCTTCATCTTTTTCAGTGCTTCAACCAAATGCAAGGCTGAACTTGCAATCTACCAGGACCCACTGTCGAGGTGGTTAATGGACACCCCTTAACCTCTAAGGCTCCAAGGAGCAATCAAACCCCCCTTAGGGGGTCCTGGTAAGGAGTCCAGCTTTCTCCAAGGATCCAGCCAGGGATTGTCTCGCTGAAAAAACACCCTCCTGAGCAAGCTTCCCTCCTGAAGCAAAGCAAGTTCCTGGAAGCAGTTTTTTTTGTAGGAACCTTCTTGCTTGCAAGACTCCCAGGAGGTGTAAGACCACCATTGGCAGTGAGTACTAGGCAACCACACCCCACCAACTGGGGCTGCTGAACACTGTGTGCCCGTTGATTTCGGTAGTACGTCTCCGGGAGTTGATGAACAAGAAGCAGCAGTACGTCTCCGGGAGTTCCAACTTCGACGTTCCAAGTTTGCGGCTGAGGTTTTGTGGAAGAGATGGACAAATCTACTTTGTTGACAGTTCAGTGAAGTTGTTTGTGATGGACGTGGTGTTTCAGTTGCTAGCGGTAGCGAAAAGGGTTGTTCCTCCCCAAAGCATAATGCCTTAAGAGTGACACCACACCCGACCAGGTTTAATATTTTTGCCAGCACCTGCAGCTCCCCCCCGGCTGCCAGCATCATTCAACCTGGTCACCACTACTCACTAATCACCATTCACTAGTTGCAAAGTAGCAGTAGGAGTTGCTGGTTTTTTGTTTGAGACCGTCCAAATGCCTTCTGCCTCTGCTCTGTGATTCTACTGAAGCATTGATCTAAGAAGATTACAGAGGTTTCAGAGGTTCAAAGGCACACGATGGAACGCGCGTATGCCGCATATGCCTTTTCAGCGAAGCGAATCGGGAAATTTTCTAGTTGAGCACATGTGGCGGCTGTGTGGTTGCTTGGACCATGTGGAGCTGTGTGTCCACTTGTCATCACCCTGTTGGTCCACAGTCCTTGAGGCTTGCCATAGCTGCGCTGATTCATCCGCTGGCTCATCCGCATAGCTTGAGCCACGCCCTTCAATAGTAAACACAAGAGCTCATCCTCTCGCCCCTCGTGGGGCAACCAGGATGTGGCGTGTTTGAGGGTAGAGCTGTACGCAACTTGAAGCGTGAAAAGAGTCTCTTTTGCACGGACATCATCCCGGGACTTTTAGGTGTTCCCCGCCTCTCGTCGTTGTCATCGCGTTCGTTCCCCTCTCAAGTGGCTCACCGCTGAATCCAAATGCAACACACCGGTCCCACCGGTAGGACCGAAGGCCCGGTGCCCGAAAGCATATCCCACCGGTAGGACCCAAGACCCTGTGCGGAAAATCCCAGACACCTCTGGTATCTTCTGGTTCTGGGCATTGATGGGACGCTTGCTGAGCAGCACTCACCTATGATGCTGAACTGCGTCCCACCAATGATGGTTCGGATTGACGTTCGTCCACCCAGTCAGGGCCCAGCGGCCAGGGGATCTTGGCACTTCGTCAAGATGAAACATGCACACCATTGCACACCCATCTCGGCTCATTCGGCTGCCAGGTCCCAGCAAGATGGCCCTCACGAACAGCGTCATTGCGGTGCCGCCGTGCCGATGGTTTTCCCGCCGAGCCACGCGTGGTGCCGCGTGTGGAAGCGCGTGTGGAATGTGTTTGGTGCTTTTTGTGTCCTTCTACCATGATGATGTGTGAAGACATTCCAATTGCACGCCCAAGAATGGAATTCAAAAGCTTGAACGACTCTTGATGAATGAACCGTGCAGACATGCTTTACGACACCTCTTCTACATGTGGGATTGAAACATCAATCAGACGAGTACATTACAGTGAAAAGTCAGCTAGACCATGCTAGACCTACTCACCCTCCACTAAGAAACCTGGAAGAGGAGAACCCCCTCCATGGATCCCAATTGCAAAGGACATAAAAGATATATATATATATACCCTGGGAGTCAAAGACTAGACAGAGAACGGTCTTTAGGTGACCTGAAAGGGACTATCCTTTACTTCAGTCGGTCAAAATGTAGTCTTTGGACTTCTAGGGTA